ATGTGGGAAGATTTGCATAACACCACCCAAATGTTCACGCAAAGAAAGAAGGCATAACTTTTATTCTCGCTGTAGTATTGTTGCCGCTGCCGCTGCGTCGTGAAGACGCTGTGTGTTTCGCTGTGAAAGCGAAACTACTTAGTTTGGTCTTCCAAAAGAGGATGATATCCACTTCGTCATGCCTGGAGCTGATCCGTGCTGGTTGCTGAGGGAATACATCAACTTAGTGCTGTGGATCGGTGGATCGTCTTTCACCGTTTTCACCGCTCCTTCGCCAGGACCGCCGTTCTCGACCCCGCTGCCTCAGCTCACTCTTGCCCGGCTTCAGCTCACGCAAAGCTGGGGCTTTCGCTCATGCTAGGCCGCTGCGTTTTTCGTTGTGAAAGCGAAACTACTTTGTTTGGTCTTCCAAAAGAGGACGATATCCGCTTCGTCATGCCTAGAGCTGATCTGTGCTGGTCGCTGAGGGAATACTTCAACTTAGTGCTCTGGATCGCCGGCATATTTTATGGAGGACTGTTTACTGATCCTGGGAGAGTAACGTTAGACTAAAATGCCGGCAGTTCTGACTCACGTAAGTACGTTTTCTTTTATCATTTGCCATTGATGATTCAAACGTGAGTTTTGGGCAATGTAGAGTAGCACTTGTTGTTTGTCATTTCTCCGATCACAAATGCAGACAGGGTTTTATGTTTACGCGGCACGATGCAACAACGCGTAAAAAGACAGTATAAGTCATTATAATCAGTAATTATGTCCCCACTGGATGCAACAAATGCCTCGTTTGTAATGGGTTTTAATGTTTTTGTCTCATCGCTCTGGCCGGACACGCCATCACAGTATGGTGAGGGGCGTAACATTTCCGTCTCACGCTTGAGGTATTCGGCCAATCACAGCACACCTCGCTTTTTCATGAGCTTTGTCAAAATCAACGCATTTCAAAAAGGCGGGGCATAGAGGAGAAACAATAATGTACAGTATGTGGAAAATAATGTGTTTTTTACTTTAAACAGCATAAACACATTTCATTACACCAAATAATGTTCTTTTTAGCAGCATCATATGACCCCTTTAAGTATTTATTATAGGCCTAATGTGTTTCCATTATTAGGACTAATTGTTTCTAACCATTTTCTAATAAAGGAACACCTATTATAGTGTGTACCTTTAGAAATAGTAAGTGCAGGAGACCACTGGGACCTGAGGATATCCAGACAGATGCTGCCATTACTGTTTATGTTGGGATGGTAGATTCTTGTAGTAAATGCAACCTAACACAAAGAAAACAAATGTTATACACACCTACAGTCAAACAGGTGTTTTTTTGTTGGTTTTGTTTTTGAAGTTCTTACCTTTGGTGGTTTAAAGGGGTAATCTGTTGGGAAGTGTATGGTTAGGAAAAAAACACCACCCTGATATGGACTTTCATTCTGTTTTTAAATAAAAAAGGGAAAAATATGTTTAGTACATTTACACTACTGTTTGAGGTCAGTAAGATTTTAATTTTAAAAAGTGATAGTAAAGACATTAATAATGTTACAAAAGATTTCAATTTCAAATAAACGCTGTTTTCTAAACTTTTTATTCATCAGAGAATCCTTCAAAAATGGTTTCCACAAAAAAAATATTAAGCAGCATAACATTAATAATAATTGGCTCATAAGAATGATTTTTGAAGGATGAAAATTCAGCTTCACTATCACAGGAATAAATTACATTTAAAATATTTTAAAATACAGTTGGTTTAAATTGAAATAATTTCAAAAATGTTTTACTGCATTTTTGATCAAATAAAAGCAGCCTTTGCAAGCATAAAAGACTTTTCCCAACAACACAGTTCGTACATTTTACGTCAGTATTACACTATTCAGTAACATGCTTCTGCAGCAGTGTTTTATTGTACTCACCGGCCCCATGATTGTTGCCTGCCAGTGGAACACTGCAGGAGAGATTGCATGTAAAGCATCAGTTTACAGTAAATACATTCAGCCGTAAACACCACACAATATATGTAAAGTCTGTGATCTCACCATCATCCCCCACTGGACCAGCAGAACACTGTGCAGGAGGATCACGCGCCAAATCATTCAGTTCCTACAGGGAAGAGCCAGAATGAGTTTCGTGAAACACAAGCACACAGAACTACTGAAAAGACACAGACTCTCCAGAACGAAGGGTCAATAATGGCGCTTTGCACTTTTATCACTGTGGTGACAGCAAGATGAAACCAGCAGAATGAATGTGTAGCAGCACAATGTATTTATAGTTCCAGAGGGGTCATGAGGGAGAAGAGCTGGAACACAATCTGAAGCCCACAGGCATGTCCGTCTGCGCTCCCTACTTTAGGAGCACTACGTTTATTTTTATTTCAACATGTCTGTTGAGTGGGAAGACACCTGAGGGTATTTCATGACAGGGGGATAGAAAACTGCCAGCAATCTAGAACTTTTCCATTGCACAACTACACACAGGCTGGAACTTCGCAACTCACTGAGAAATTGACTTCATAATATGGATACAAAACTATTTGGAATCCCAAATTGAACCTTGCAGCCCCTAAAAGGTCAACTAAAAGAGAAGTAGTAAAAAGGGACCTCGACGTCAAAACGTTTAGGAATGATCACATTAATATGGACTTAATTAATAATGAACTAAAAGACTATTTTAGTTTTGTTTCATTTCATAAGACTAACTATGGTAAGAATTTACTGCCAACACCACGAGGCAAAGTGCCAATACTACAGTAATCATTTATTATGAATTAAATATCGATGTGAGATTTATCATTTATAATCTAAACATCTTATAATGCCACCTATGACATCGAGACTGTCTTCCGTAAATAATTAGTAGCCGTCAAGACCATTATTCACACTGGTTGACAATTAAAACTGTATACACAGACTTATGGAAAATAAAATAATAATAATATAAAAAACGACAGGTTTGATGTCCTTATTAATAAACACAAAAAATCATTCGTCGCTAGTATCAGGAATAAGCATACATAAGCAATACGCCGACACGCTGATAGATGACTTAAATATTCACTGATACACTGGTTTATAATATGTCTGGCTGATATATTTATACTCGATATAATTTCCCACTTACCTTATGGATTCGTTTAAGCGCCATCTTCCCACTGGGTGTAGTGGCTCCTGAATAACTAGCGCCCTAGATCTCGCTCTCCTTCTCAATATGTGAGCTAACCTGAGAGCTAGCCAGCTGCCTAGATAAAAAGTAACATTAAAAATGTCAGGATGTCAAACAATATGTTACATTCAACGTCTAAAAAAAATGCTAAGGCAATCAAACGCGTGAATACAGACAGGCCCTGACCCTGTCGGTGACTGTAATGCTGATGTGTGTATACTTCTCTTTCAGTTTGTCTGCGCTGACAAGATGTCCGAGAGCTTGTTGTTAGCCTCTTCTTCTCGTGCGGATTAAATGGCGAATTAAAGCGCAATAATGAGGCGAGCGCCACCGTGAGCGCTGGATGACAGCACTAAATAACTAAACAATATGAACGTTTTTAAAAAATGACAACTCACAAATTGCCAAGAAGGAGAATTATAAAGGGATTATCCAGAAGCATTTTACGCACTTCTTTGGAAATTAAAGGTAAATGAGATGAAACGCAAAATGCCTAATGGATGGTACAGTGAAACCTAGACAATGGCAAATTTGAACAGCAAAAGGGGACATTTGTGAAAGGTAAGTGACTTCACCATTGGGCCTTGAATACAAATGAGTTCAAATACAACTCTGTCCGAGCTATGGTACAAAGATGGTATCAAATTCCTTTGGACATTTGATGTATATCATGGCAGGCCTGTGGTTTTGGGATGACTCAAATCTCGAATAACTGGATTAAGGAAGGATTAAAGTTAATGATTTAAAACAATTATAATTTGTATACTATAAAATATATTAAACATGTATTCATTATAAAAACTTCCATGGAGTTTTACTATTTTATTAATTTATGGATTCTTGGACAAGGCTATTATTGGAGTTTTATGATTTTATAAAAATTAATTAGGCAATTTATTCATCCAGGATTTGAGGGAGTGAATGAAAATCCTTTTGGCTTTTTAATTCTTGTTTTGTCCTAAATGAAATCATTTTGAGGCCCCCTGGTTGAGAACCACTCATCTATGGGATTTTTTTTTTGTATTCAATGATAACCATATTCATGGTATTTTAAAAGCTAATTCAAGGTACAAAGAATAGTATTACAATGGTGCATATACACAAAAAATGTGACTCTGGACCACAAAACCAGTCGTTAGTCGCATGGTGTATTTGTAGCAATAGCCAACAATACATTGTATGGGTCAAAATTAGCGATTTTTCTTTTACACCAAAAATCATTAGGATTAAGTAAAGGACATGTTCCATGAAGATATTTTGTAAATTTCTTTTTTTTTTTGTATTCAATGATAACCATATTCATGGTATTTTAAAAGCTAATTCAAGGTACAAAGAATAGTATTACAATGGTGCATATACACAAAAAATGTGACTCTGGACCACAAAACCAGTCGTTAGTCGCATGGTGTATTTGTAGCAATAGCCAACAATACATTGTATGGGTCAAAATTAGCGATTTTTCTTTTACACCAAAAATCATTAGGATTAAGTAAAGGACATGTTCCATGAAGATATTTTGTAAATTTCTTACCGAAAATATATCAAAACTTAATTTTTGATTAGTAATATGCATTGCTTAATTTGGACAACTTTAAAGGCAATTTAAAGATTTAGATTTTTTTTTTTGCACCCTCAGATTCCAGATTTTAAAATTGTAGTATAATTCTCCATTTTTTTAAAAATGGACTCTTATGACTGGTTTTGTGGTCCAGGGTCACAAATAGCATTGCCAGATTTTAAACACCAGGAACCTACTAATTGCTACACACTAGACATTTATAAGTTCACTTAAAGACAAAATAAGTCATATATATTATACTGTATACAAGTAATATATTAGCCAGCAATAATATATGTTGTTTTAATCATCGTACAACATTAAGGCAATAGAAGAAACAGTGAACTAGACACAGAACTATCTCCAAATCACACAGATTAAATGAAATCGGGCAAGAGTGAAACAACTTTTCAATCAGTGTGATTGTATAAGCCTTTAATCGTAATTCTCTGCTCCGTTAAACAGTCTCACCTGGAATCTCCCCAATAACAATGATCTGATATTTGCTTTATGCACAGCTCACAACTTCCTTGACTGTCTTTTATCCATTCATTCTGGCAGAACTCATCCACAAAACATAATGTGTTTGAGAGAAAAATCACTTCATTACAACTACATAATGTCAGTTCACATAAAAGCAATACAGAAAAGTCAGAGGCACAGATCAACAATCGCATTACGAATGAATGAATGAAATTCACACATGTACCATAACCTGTATCTGAAATAACTCAACAGAAAAGTCCCAAATTACATTTAAAAAAAAGAAAAGAAATTCACAGAATTGGTAACTGCCAACAGGAATTAGTTTGTAATGCATCTATTCTTTCATGTCTTCCTTAGAACTGGACAATCATCATTGAATCATCCAACTCTATATCTTTACATATGTCAAGAAGAGATTCTTCAAAATGAATATCATTTGGTAACTATGATCTAATGCTGCGGAGGTACTGTGGTCGGCTTAGTCCTAACACAAAATCAGCAGGACGTCTTCTGAGTAAATGATGCACCTGCAGTCTTTTGCAGCATTTCTGTCTCTGTTATTTGAAACCCTCTATTGTTATGGCTTCCTTTCAGTGCGTCCCACTTTCTCTGAGCTCTGCTCTGTTTTCTGCCACTGTCAGTCTGTCTGGTTGCCATGGCAGTTTCTCTGATTCACACTTCTCTGGCTGAGCTTATGTTTCAGTCCGCTTCCCTAAGCTCTTGAGAAGCTACTTCTGGGTCTACTTCTCCATGTGATGAGCAGCTGGGTACAGGATTTGCCACACCTTGGGAATCACCATTTGCACCGTAGTGCAAGTGTTGGAGACTCTCCTTGCTACAATTCCTCTCGGAGTTTGAGTATTTCCTTTCAGACTCATCACAATTTGTCTCTGCAGAGCAAACATGGTCTCCCTGTGATCCCTGCACTTCCTCCTGACGGGTCTCAGGAGAAGGCTGTTGCTCTGATGGAGGTGGGTTTTGGTGGGTCGGTGGAGCTTCGCCTGCTGCAGCCGTCGGATTAGCCGAGGAGGGTTTGATGGAGGCATGGCACATGGGGCATGTCTCCTGCACATAAAGCCACTTTCTCAAACAGTTGCCATGGAAGAAATGACCACAGTATGTGATCACTGCTGATGTCATATCCTGCAGGTTAGAAAAAATGGACTTTATCATCATCATTGTGGTGCGAAGTTTAATTTGATTACTTCTGTAATCGATTCGATCCTATACTGTTATCATTTACACGACAAACCTAAATTTTAGGAAGAATAATTCCGATTTTTGTTTTTGAAAATAGTCCTTTTTGCTGCATTTACCTCATCAAAAATACAGTAAAACTGTAGTTTTATGAAACTGTTTTCTACTTGAATATATTTTAAAATGTAATTTATTCCTGTGATGGCAAAAGCTAAATTTTCAGCATCATTACTCCACTCAATTATTTGATAATTAATTATGGTAACACATTATTTTAAGGACCAATTCTCACTATTAACGAGTTGCTAATTAGCATGCATATTACTAGTATATTGACTATTTATTAGTAGTTATAAAGCACATATTAATGCCTTATTCTGCATGACCATATTTTAGATCCCTTAATCCTACCCCATACCTAAACTTAACAACTGCTGTACTATTAATAAGCAGCAAATTAGGAGTTAAAAAAAAACAACTCCTAGTTAATAGTGAATGTGTTCCCTAATCTAAAGTGTTACATTAATTATTAATAATAATGATTCTTATTTTTATCAATGCTGAAAATAGTTTGTCCTGCTCATTGTTTTGTGGAAGCCATGCTACATATTTTTCATGATTCTTTGATGAATATAACATTCAAATGACAGCATTTATTTGAAATAGAAATCTTTTGTAACATTAAAAAAAAAGGTATATAAATACCTTTACAGTCAATTTGATCAATTTAATGTGTCCTTGCTAAATAAAAGTGTTTAGCTCAAAGTGTATCACAGTTTCCCCAGAAATATTAAGCAGAAAATCATCATATTAGAATGATTTCTGAAGGATCATGTGACGCTGAAGACTGGAGTGAAAAGTCATCACAGGAATACATTACATTTTAAAACATATTCAAACAGAAGACATGTGTGACCCTGGACCACAAAACCAGTCATAAGTGTCAATTTTTTTAAATTGAGATTTATATATCATCTGAATAAATAAGCTTTTCATTGATGTATGGTTTGTTAGGATAGGACAATATTTGGCCGAGATACAACTATTTGAAAATCTGGAATCTGAGGGTGCAAAAAAATCTAAATATTGAAAAAATCGTTTAAAGTTGTCCAAATTAAGTTCTTAGCAATGCATATTACTAATCAAAAATAAAGTTTTAATATACAGTAGGAAATTTACAAAGTATCTTCATGGAACATGATCTTTACTTAATATCCTAATGATTTTTGGCATAAAAGAAAAGTCTAAATCAGAAAAATAAGGACAAAACTTGATTCTACCCTAAATATGACATGCAGAACACCTGCACTCTGTGCTTGTTCTGACCTGGAAGCAGATGGCGCAGACATCATTATGGTCCTGCAGCTGCTCTGCGCTGGCCCGTGGAAGTACATTGATTTTGCGAGCAGCTTCTTGTCTAAGCAAGAAGCTTTTCCAGCCAGCCTGGGCACGTAGCCACACATTGCAGTAGGAGTGGATGACAATGACTGATGCTCCCATCCAGCTCCACTCTCCCCACAGTGACTCCCACGCCCCATACGCCACAACACACACAGCCACCGCAAACTCCAGCACCCGGCACACTCCATTCACATAATAAACAATCTCATCCAATCCGGGCAGGGCAGCACCGCGCCAGACCTCCACCATGAACAGGCTGTAGATCAGCAGAGTGCCTGTCACCTACAAGAGGGTGCACAGCATGCTGTGATCTCACAGAAAACAAAATGAAACAAACAAGTTCATAAAACAGAGCGTACCTGCAGCGATGTGAGCATACAGCTAGAGACCAAGATCAGCAGCCAGAAATCCATGTTGAAAAACTGAGAGATCTTGTAGGCCATGAATCCCGGAAACAGCAGCAGAAAGCCACACATAGATAAACCACGCAAGTGCTTCCACACACTCCTGTGGAAACAACCCCAAATCTTTGAACACATCTATATATGTATGCATAAAATTAAGTCAGAACTACTTATTTTGATAATTCAATGAATTAAACAGTGAATTAAGTTCTTTATTTGAATTTTTTTTCTGTTTTGGAATTTGGTACACTGGTAAATTAATTCATACTTGAATAAGTCTAGCATCAGCGCAAAAACAGCTGTTTCAACAAAAGCAGTTGTTCTAACAAAACAATGACAGCCAACAGAACAAACATATTTCACAAACACATTTTCATAGTATAGCAAAACATTTTTTGCATGTATCACTAGGTATATACACTGTCATACCTCCAATCTGTCATTAATATTGTCATTTGTTCAGGTTGTAAATGGAATCGCATACCTGTTTCTACTAGCTCCGAGCCCCAACACAACAGGCTCTGTGATCTCACTCATGCTTTGAAGAGTAGACGTGAGAACGATGAAGAGGATAATAAAGAGCAGAAAGCAGCGCTGTAGAGCCGTCATGTCCAACAACCCAGTCTGCAGGGCCAACAGCAGCAGAGTCACTCCCTCCGTCACACCCCTACAATATATAAAAACATGAACGCTTGAACTGAACAAACACATGCACACAGTAAATATACATCATCTTCTCTTACCTGTGCATGACATTATGGTTCTGGAGAGCATTGAATCCTCCAAGGTAAAACTTACAGAGACTCAGAAGTCCCAGAGCCGTATAAGACACCACAAACGTTAAGCCAAGCAGGGAGTATGGGCTAGCACAGCATTCAGACACACTGAAAAACACACGCACATTAGATTCAATTCACATCTCATATGGCCATTCAGTGAGATTGAATACCCTGACATTTACCTGGTGAGGAGATAGAGTAGCGGACCCTGTTGGACGCCAGTGATAGTGCCATAATTGGTAACAAGTTGCACTCCGAACAGCACAAACCAGAATACACTAAACAATACAGGCACAGCAAAGCCATGCCAGAGGGACACTCCGACTGCCATCAATCTGTACAACTCAGTCACCTACAGAAACAACAGAGATTTAGAAAAGAAGAACTGAAACGATGCGTGTAAGAGATGTAAGTGCATCAGTATGTGTTTGTTTTACCTCTATTGCCATTATCTCTCTGTAAGTAGCTCTGGCCAGTTTGTATGGTACAAAGAGGTTGGCGAGGAGAAAGACGGCCATCTCGGCCCCTGTGATCATCATGGACACAGAGGAGAGTGTGAGGAGCCAGTCCAGAGGGACAGACACCACACGCGCCAGAAGAGGGAGCAAGTGAGCTGAGAACAGCCACACACGTCGAGTCCGCATGAGGAACGCACACAGCGTACTGACTATTATCTGACCTGCAAGTGATCACACACACACATTGTAAAAGAGAGTCATAATCAGTACTGATATGCACAAATATGTCAAAGGTGATTGTGCCATTGCACAAACCATACAAAAAATTGCAAGACAGACAACACACTTTTTCTTGCACCCTCTCTGAAGGGCTTAAGTTATAATTTTATAGAAAGGTAGTACTCTTTTCAAGCACACTTTCTAATTTATACATAATACTTTAATTGCTAATCAAGTTTTTTATGTGGGAAACAGATGATGTCACATGATCCTTCAGGAATCAGTGTAAGATGCTGATTTATAAAAAATGCACAGTTGTGCTGCTTAATATTTTTGGGACCTGTGATACTTTCTGTTGCCAGTGATTCTTTGATAAATAAAAAAAGTTAAAAAGAACAGTGTTTATTTAAAATATTTCACAGGAATAAATGATATTTTAAAGCATATTAAAATAGAAAACTGTTATTTTAAATTGCAATAATATTTCAAATTCGGTTTTTTCTGGCTGTTCCTGAAACCACGCCTTCTTTCTTTGCGTGCACAATTGGGCTCATTATGCAAATATTTCCACATCGTGATGTAGACATGTGGGGGTGTGTTAGAACGAGCCATTTTAGGCAGGTGTGGTTGACTCTTAACTTTTATAAAGAATATCTCTTTGGATTTGAGATTTAGTCTTTGCAACTTTACAGATCTTCTTTATGCACCAAGAGCTAACACTCCAAAGAGAAAGGAAAACTTGAAATCACATCATATGACCCCTTTAAAATATTTTACTTTAAATAGTTTTACATAATATTAACCTAAAAGAGTACAAAGGAAACCAAACAATACAACCATAACAACCCCAACAAAACAATACAAAACAAAGCAAAAAACTACAGCAACAACAAGTGGGGAAAGTCTAACATAATCAAATCATAATCTTAAGGTTTAATTCGGTTATTAGAGTAAATTCAACTACAGTGAGAACAATAGTAATACATTATTCAGCTGAGTAAATCCACAAAGGGTTGCCATACAGTTTGAAATTGCCGAAGAGATTTGGGCTCCAAGGAACGATTCCTCTCCAGTTGTATGACATGAAACAATTCCCTTTTTTCTGTATTTTTGATCAAATACATGCAGCCTTGATGAACATAAGAAACATTACAAATCTTACTGATCCCAAACTTTTGAATGGCACTCTGTGTGTGTGTGTATATATATATATATATATATATATGCCACAATTTCTACAATTTTATATACATTTAAAAAAAATTTAATGCGTTAGTGCCTAAATACTTTTTGGGCCCAATGCATATAGCTACTATGTATCCATTTTTGTAAAGAGCATCTGTCACATGATGACATTTGTCAATATTCTGCTCCTGTATTCTGCTCCTGTTTGGCGGTCCTCTTGAAAACGAAAGGACATTGTTTGGTGTGGCTAATCAGTAGATCCAATCTGAAAACTGTGGGAAGAGAAACAATGACAGATCTTAAGACATCTTAAACCAGTCTCAGATGGTCTCTCGGCCTGCTCGGACTGGTTTTAAATGGATTTTGGGAACTTTTCGGTTTAAGACAGCCTGGGAGACCATCTAGACCAGCGTAGCAGACTGAAAGACCATAAACCAGCTTAAACTAGCAAACTATCTTAACATATAGAGTAATTTAATCGTGATTTAAAGGTAGTTGATGGGAAAATAACACGGACCGTCGTTTTTCATCTCAGTGTAGTTTTAAAGACGGTTGCACCCCACCTCCAGTCTGTGTTTGTAGCATCATGGCAGCTCGCGGCTTATTTGTCTCAAAACAAAAGCGCCTCAGCACAATTCATCCTCGAAAAATACAGTTTCCACACCTGTCACGACCGCACACTGGTTAGAAACTACCGTCAGCTGCAAACACACTTCCTGTCCTCCCCGTCTTCTTCTGTAGTTGTTTGAATAGCGGGTCGCAAACTAAAATAGCGCATTACCGCCTCCTACTGTTTACGGCACTGCCGTCTTTCAGAGACTCTTCTTCTTCTTGTACGATTTAATGGCGGTTGACAAGCCCAACTTATGGTGTATTTCCGCCACCAGCTGGACTGGAGTCTCCAGAGACTTTCCCTCAGATCTGATCTCTTCAGCTTCGTCAGCCTCCACTTTGAGACCATAGTTTAGATTAGAAAAACTATATTGTAACTACAGTATATAGATTCTTCATTCTCCATTATGTCATATTCTAATATGTTTACATCTAGGAACTTGTGGTGTTTCTTTCTGTTCTTTTAATTAAATTATATTTAATTATTTTCTTTCAGAAAGACTATTTAGTGTTAATTGTTGCTGTCCTTAGACCCATGTAACTGTCAAATAGATCAATAAATAATCCATTGAAAACCTCCTCATTATTGACTCACTAGAGCTCACACAGACCGTCAACACTCTCCACAGGTTTCAAATAGTTACTGGTTTCCTAATCATATATATTTTTTTCACTTTTTAGTTTTTTTAACAGAATATGTAGCCTAAGTGTGACCAGCTCGGATGAGAATACTCCTCTCCTCTTCTCCACTATGTTGAATTTATGATCCGTATTGTTGTAGTTTTATGCATGAACATGCAGTCACAAAAAAGCTAAAGGTATACCATGACTTTTTATCACTGTTTATCACTGGTCTCACATTCCATCCATTTTGGCCTTCATACACTTAATTTCTTTTTTTTTTTAAATGGAATAGCACACTGTGACTCGTTTGTGTATTCCTTTTTTTTGTGTATATTTATGATCCGTATTGTTGTAGTTTTATGCATGAACATGCAGTCACAAAAAAGCTAAAGGTATACCATGACTTTTTATCACTGTTTATCACTGGTCTCACATTCCATCCATTTTGGCCTTCATACACTTAATTTCTTTTTTTTTTTAAATGGAATAGACACACTGTGACTCGTTTGTGTATTCCTTTTTTTGTGTACATCATTTAAAGAGGGAAACTGCCACTTAATTTCAAAATACACATAATGATGGACAGAAATGTATCATCGAGGACTGTAAAGATATTTTAGTGGAACTAGGCCTTCATTGAATCTATTCTGTGTTTGTATTTTATGTTTTATTTCTTTATGTACCTATTCATCATGTTCAGTGTCAATTATAATTAATTCATGTATTCAGACAATAACTTTTGTTATAGCACTGTCATTTTATGCTACAATTTTCCATGTCAATAAAAAAATGTATGTATTTGGCATGACTTTCTGACAGTCCTTAAAGGTTAAACCCTAATAGAGACTAGCAGGTAAAGGCCGTGTAGAGGGGTAAAAAGCACAATATTAATAATAAATAATATAAAAACTAATATTTATGAAAAAGGTTATTTATGACACCATTAAGATTCTGTAGTACACATGGTTCTTTTTGGAACCTAAAGGGTTCTGTTTAGCACAAACAAAATGGTCAGCTATTGTTAAAAGAACTCTAATCTGGTACTGTTGAGAACTTATTTTTTGTACTTAATTTTACTCAATTTCTTCTTTTATGGTCTAAACCTTCATTTATCACTTTATCCAATTTTGAATGTATTTTTTTTTGTTATTTTATTCATCTCTGATCTATTTATGCTACAATTTTCCATGTCAATAAAAAAATGTATGTATTTGGCATGACTTTCTGACAGTCCTTAAAGGTTAAACCCTAATAGAGACTAGCAGGTAAAGGCCGTGTAGAGGGGTAAAAAGCACAATATTAATAATAAATAATATAAAAACTAATATTTATGAAAAAGGTTATTTATGACACCATTAAGATTCTGTAGTACACATGGTTCTTTTTGGAACCTAAAGGGTTCTGTTTAGCACAAACAAAATGGTCAGCTATTGTTAGAAGATCTCTAATCTGGTACTGTTGAGAACTTCTTTTTTGTACTCAATTTTACTCAATTTCTTCTTTTATGGTCTAAACCTTCATTTATCACTTTATCCAATTTTGAATGTATTTTTTTTAGTTATTTTATTCATCTCTGATCTATACGTGATAATAATCAAATAACATCTGCACAACACTTGGTTTGCCAAACTCTCTGCTTACTCATTCCCCTCCCTTCGCATCAAACATAAAACATTCATTACATCTACATTTCCTCAGTGTAATATACTGTATAAACTTAGCCTATTTGGGAATTTTCAACACCTGCTTATTTGTTTCTGTACGGCTTGCATTTTTTTTTAGTGAAGGAATCTTCTAAGGAAACTGGTTTTAGTCAGACTTCCAAGGCACCGTAGCGTCATGGTCTAGATGGATTCATGTGAGCTTTAGTCATAATAAACAAGCAAATATTGAATAACGCTAGAAAATAAATCATACATTAAAAAAACTATAAAATGAATACATTTATTTTTAATCGCTCATAATTTACTATAATTTACATCATGTTTTTAATTTCATAATTTACATTACTTTTAATTGACATAAGTTTTGTAAAGTCATCTAAATATTTCCAGTGTTCTTCTATTATTTAATTTTAACAGTGTTCTTTTGAAATTAAGATGCTGACAAGAATTAAGTACACTGAGATTAAGACAAGAATTTCCAAAGAAAGCTGTGTAATAAAAAAATTGTCAAAATAAAGTAAACTGACATATTTAACAACAAATCTAGCTAAGAATAGCATTTTAACAACTCGTGAAAGGATTTTAAAAGAGGATAGTTTATGAGTTCTTCTATGGCCTGACAACTGTAAGTTTAAAAAAGATAATAACTAGAACTTCCGCCACCGTATTAACCTTACTGATTTTGCACAAGCAGTTTACAGGAAATAAAGGCAAGGTCCACTTCTGCTAATTTCAGCAATCATCGCTTTCTTCTTAGTCATGCGTTTCAACTGTGACACCAGTTTTTGGGAAGGCATCATCACGCCAGAGACTGTACATGGAGGAGGAAAATACATCGAACACTGACCTCGGATAGCCCTCACCTAAGGAGAACACACACGTTGAGTGTTTGAGAATGGTAACTATTAAAATATGTTGCAGGCAAAAAGCAGTGGGTGCTGTAAAGGTC